CAATTTGTAGTGGTCCTGACCTTCAGGACCTGCCTGTAAATAATTATTAGCTGCGAACCTGACGGGAGTAACCGTAACCGAGGCTCTCTGGACTCTCTCGCTGGCCCCCTCTTTTTTGACTTCGTCACCATGTAATATGCGCGTATGTCTTATTTGTACTTTGTGTCGTCCATTTACTGTATTAAAAATCTCACATACATATATGTGTGTCAGTGAGGAACACAAAGGGGGGGGGCAAGGCTCCGGATCCCCCCTCCCTTGTGTTCCTCAGGATAGGTCACCGAGGATAGAACCCCAGACCTGTGGTGTGGAATCGCAAAGAATATGATACAGAATTGAAATACAGTCAAACCTCCATATTGCGAACTTTTCTATATAGCGAACTTTTTCCTGGAACCAAGAACATTTCACGATTTTCTTCGTAAAATAACCTCACTACAGCGAAGTTCTTTTTATATATAACGAACTTTTTCTCTGGTGATTAATTTTTTTCTCCCAATTTTTCCAGTATTTCTGGACATTTCAAGTTTTTCTCTCTTATAACACATTTTATGGTGGTCATAAATCTTGAACTGGTTTTATTAGGAGCTTTACTTGTCGAGTACATTAGAATCCTGGGCGTTTTATCCAAGAAGTGCAACGTCTAATCGCCATTGTCCAGTTCACTGGAAATATCTTCGATATCATCTTTCACCCTCAATGGAGTTGTCTCGTATCACCGTGTTCTCGAACTAGTCTCCGTTCATTTGTAGTGTTGATCAGTCGTACTGGTAACTTCATTCCTTGTAGCTCAAAAATGTCAAAACGTAAGGGCTTGAGCATCAAAGAAAAAAAATTCAATTCTTCAGGGAGTGGATAAAGGTGTCAAGAAACTTTCCTTGTAGTTTTTCTTTCTTGCTTTCCTTTCTTATTTTTATCTGTAGGATATATAAAATAAATATATATTAATTTACAAAAAGGTGTGAATAATTACTTTTTTTTTTAATACATAGTGTCTGTGAATTTAAAATTTGTTTTATGTACTTTATAAAGAAAATTGAAAGATGAACCTCTATATAACGAATTTTTCATATAACGAACTCTTTTTCGAGATTTAGCGTCTTCGTTATACAGAGGTCCAACTATATTTTCAAATGGAAAATTGATCCAACATTTTTTGCATCATTTTAAAATTCACTCTGTAATTTAATCAATTCTTTTAATAACCTATTCTAGATTTTTCTTCGGAAAATTTGAAGGTTGATTGCAAATACATTTCCAAATTTCTTTATGAAAGTAATAGAGAGAAACAAATTTAGTATTTGATATTAGTATTATAACTGTAAGCAGTTGCCCATCCGGTATAGTTGTTAGCGACGCTGACTGCTGTTCCGTAGAACCTGGGCTCGAATCCCGGAGAAGGCATGGATGTTTGTAAATGTATAGTGCCTTTGCGGCATGGGGTACTCTAAATAGCCGTCGAACCGCAAATCCTCTGGTGAGGTTGGTGGAAGGGGAAGAGAGGTGGGAGGCTCCTGACCCTACAAAATGTTCTCCCTCAAAGTTGGGGTGGAACCAAGCTTCGTAGCACTGTCACCTGAATGGTGCTATGGCCTAACGACAGGCATTCAACTAGCCCTTTGCTGTGATGAATTTCGTGGGTCTGGATCTGACGTAGTCGAGATCAGGTGGCATAAGAAACAACTACAAAACTATAATCAAAACGAAAGAAAAAAAAATCTTAGCTCTTTTTGTTATTTTTTGAAAAGGGGGACAGTGTAATATACATTTCTTTGCTAAAACACATCTTCAACTAAGTATTGACACAAATCAATGGCTTACAGCCTTGCTATAGTATGTTAATCATAGGAAGATATCTAAACGAATTATTTATTGCACATCATTTCTTAAATATAAATTATTTATTGCAGCAGGGAAAGAAATAACACTCCTCTTTCCATAGCTTGAACCATCCTTAAAACAAACGTCAAGGAAACGAAATGACAACTGAACTTGAATAAATTATTTCCCTAAATAAACCCAAGGAAACAGAAATGTCATTTTTAGTCAATAACTCTGAGCAAACGCGTTCCACATATTTCCTTATAAATAAACAAGTATCCACATACTTCTGATTATCTGTAATTTAGCGTGGGCTTATTAAATACTGAATAATCCCAGAAAATTACTAAATAAATAATAATCGTTTGCATAATTCTGTTAGTAGACTATATTTCTACGTGGAAAGGAAGATAAATGACCCGCTTATGACGTCATCTGACGTAACTATGGCAACCGTAGCCGTGAATAACGTTTCTAGACAAAATGGTTTTTACTTTCTCGGATGTTTCGAATAATAGCAACAGATGCAAAAAATAAAAATGTCTTCTTTCGAAAACTATTTCACCAACAGATGGATAAGAAGTTTTTCATGAATTTTAATGAAAAAAATTGTGTTATAGGTTTCAGTCAAACGTTTCTATAGAAATGTGTTCTCTTTCAAAAGATACTTCTTTTTTTTCTTTGTATTTCAAAAACTTGTGTTTCTGATATGTAACTATTGTTAAATCGAGACGATATTCTTTAATATTTATTTCTTCATTTTTTTTTTCTTTCTTTTGTTGCATTCTTTGGCAACAGCAATACGCACATTCTGCGTTTCATCGTAGATATTATCACGTAAGATGCAATTCTGTTATTGTAATTCAAAATATAAATTACATAATTACATTTATAAATTCACAGATTTTTTATTCATCAGTAGGTGAATAATTTGTTCATTTCAACTCTTCGTATTCCTATGTTTATAAAATTATATTTTTTCAAAACAAGAAAAGAGTATTAAGAGTTTTTTTTGGGCTCCTAATTTCAGAGTTTAAAATATTTTTGTGCCATATTTTTAAAAAGCTTTCCATTATTGATGACTGCTTATTTTTTTATTCTGAAATCATGCATAATTGTTTAATGGACAATTTTACGTATTTTTGCCACAAATGCAATTAGATAAATTAATAAGATCAAATGAATTTCAAAATAAGAATTTTTACATCTTTTTCAAAAATGAAGCTTTACTAAAACTGTGAATTCCAGCAATAAATATATTTTATTTTCGTCATTTGCTTAGGGTTTATTTTGTTGACATTATAAGCTTTTTATCAATTACATCAAAATTAAAACAATTTTGATAGTCAAAAAAATTATGATATATTACTCATTCTCTGAAATTAAATATCTCTCTCTGGGTACGTTATTATTAAATGGTTAACCAGCTTCGAAATGCAGGAAAGGTCCATACATATCTAGCAGGCAATTTCATTTGAAGTAAATTTTAATTTATTTTGGAACTTTGTAGTAAATGTAACAGATTTACTTTTAACAGGAAGCAATGACCCCAAAGCCGAATTCAAAGGTCATTAAAACAAGAAGAAGGGCAATTCAAATTCTTAAACACAATTCCGAGTAAAGAAAATGAAACGCACAGTCACTGTCAAATTTTTAACTTCAATGTTGCTTCTCTGCATCACCCTTACATATAAACAGCGGAACCATTTTAGAAGCTTATAGTGCCCTTGAATCTTCTCGAGATATCTAGTTTTGTTGACAAAGTCACTTTTATTTAACATTACAGAAAGAATATTACTTCTGCCTGTAAACCATTCTTTCAGTCCCAATACCCTTTTAGCAGAGAAGCACATTACTTCACTTATTCTGTAACAATACATATATTCCGGAATTCTTGGATTGGCCCCATGGCTTAAAATCATGTATATTTTCTTACGTACATATTTATAATTATGTGATTATGGTACATATGTTACAGTCAAGTCAAATAATTGTTTACTATTAATGATAAAATTGTTATATTAATAATATAATCGGTTTATTATTTTAACCGTAACATATATATTTATACTTTGTTTTAACTGTATTAGTTATCATTTTGTATCAAAGAGGAATCATTAATTTAACATCTGTAACTAAACTAGTGGAACCCATTGTACACAACGGAAACCAATTGTTATTAACTCAATATTTAATTTTTTAGTTCCTTATCTCTGCGTTTCACTATATCCACATATGAGTTGTCTTACAACTTGCTTGTTAATGCTCAAGTTGAGAAACTTTGTCAACCGTAAGATTTCAATGAATTCTGGACATATTACACAGTTGAAAAGATATGCATGATTAAAAGTCAAAACTAAATCGTTTAAAATAATGTTACAATTATTTTTTTCGCTTTATAAATTCGAAATATATTAGAATTTTATTATAAAAAGAAACAGATGAAGAATAATACATTTTATTTTTTTATTTTCATACAGAAAAGGGTGACTAATTTTCATGAGAAAGAAGTAATTCTAAATTCTATTCATTTCGAAAGAGATTGAATATGTAATTTGATTTTATGATTTCCTAGATCTCTGTAACTACACAAGAAAGTAGATTATGTATGACTCATTACAGTAGAGTTGGATCCATATATCGATTAGCTTTGTACGTCAATCGATTTGTTTTTGTTCCTAAAGAAAGTCACATTTGTGAGGGACTCTATTATATTTTAAAGGGGAAGCTGAAACGAATTAGAAAATAGATGAAATAAAAATAAGTGAGACAGGTGAATGAGTCTCACGAGTATTTGCAAACATATGTCGATTTCATTAATTAAACAATGAAATAATGAATGGATGTAAGAAAACAGGAATAAAGTTTTTAAAACAAAACAGATTCAAATTCATTGCCATTTTTTTTCTATTGTTCAATTCCTACACTACTATAGTTCCCACTCTCCCTATCTATCTATATTTATATATATATCTTGTTCAAATTTTCAATCGTTAATAAAATACTTTCTGTTCATCCACTCAAGCTCAAATACATTTTCTTAAACTTGTTGTGGGTGACACTTGATGTTAATACAGTCTTTCAAATATTAATTCTTTAAATCTATTTAATTAATGAATAAATAGTAACAAACAAAAATAATAGTTCAACACCATATATAAAAAGGAAAATCGCTCGCTGTCCCTGTAGCGTAATGGATAGCGCGTTGGACTTCGAATCCAAAGGACGTGGGTTCAAATCCCATCTGGGATGGCCTAATTTCTGAGAATGTGATTTATTTTTACTATACTGTTTTATTGGAATAACTAAATGAATTTCATGAATAAATATCAATAAACAAAAATAATAGTTCAATACCATATGCACAGAAAGGGAAATCGCTTTCTGTTTTGCCACTTAATAGTGTGATTCTGTCATATGTATAGAGTACATATTTATATTAATTGTAATTATTTAATAAAAAGTAACTAAAATAAAGTTTTTCTTTGTTGACCTAAGTAGGAATTGTAACTTATTTTTATTTATTTTTTTTGTATTATTTGTTCATAATGTGCATGAAAACATGAGTGGAAAAAAATAAGTTCTAAAAAAATTTAGAACAAAGATTTTACAAATACAAACATAAAAATGAATCTTATATTCGCCCAGAAAAATGGCATATATATTATCTGTGTGAACTAGTTTTAAAAAAAGCTCTTAGTGGTCTTGTTTATGATATACGAAGCTGTGTGTGTGTTGATCCAGTTAAATATCTTACAATTTCATCAAAACAAAGGACGTGGTGAAAACATCAGAGAATAGAAAAAAATAGAGCTTAATCCCAGTTTTAGAAATATTATCGTTTGCTGTGGAAACCTTTCATAGCCCATTTTTCAAAGAATCGTTTTGGAATAAAAAAAAATCGTCCTGCCTATATTTCCATGACAATTTATTTTACTCTGAAAAGAAGATAGCTTAGTTGACGCTGTATTCATTGTCCAATTCTTTTTATGAGTTTCTCAGTCTAGTTAGTAACTCCACATAAGTCCCATTTTTCCCTTTGTACAATTCGAAGCGTTCCAAATGTGATATAGTTCGTGAAATCGTCCGGTTTAAGCCTTTTTTTTATTATTTATTTATATTTTATGGCAGCAGTAGACTTTTCGACCTCTGACGGTCAGTAATTGAAAAGCAAATTAGTAGGAGAATATATTATTTCATATTTCCGCATTTGCTTCAACAGATTAACTTCCTGTATTTTTTTTTTTTTTTCTTTTTTTTTTCTCCAGAAATATGACAGATGACAGCATGACGAGGAAAAGAGTATTTTTCGAATGATTGATAACCAGTTCGAACGTTCAAAATTGAATTACATTTAGAAGGATGATTAAAGTTTTGAATTTTTAAAAGTTTATAAAAAGCTTTGAAGAAAGAATTTTTTTCTTTCTACTGAATGTAGTTATTTTGTGTTATAAATAAAGATTTATTTTTGCGTTTCTAAGTTTGAGCATATTGAATTAAAAAAATAAATAAGATGTGTTTAAAGCAACAGGAAAATACAAATTATATTTTTCAAAGCATTATAATTAAGTTGAAATGAAGCATTTTTTTTTCGCAGGTAACCTTTTAAAACTCAGAATGAATACATGGAATAAGTAATAGCAATTTAATTTTTCATAATGTTCACCAAATATTGCTTATGCAAATTTAAAGCATAATAAATAAAAACTTTTTAAAAAATTATTATGTTCCAAAATTAACTTCTTAGATTATTACCGGCTTTTTTTTTCAGTTCAAAAAATAGTAAAATAAATTGAGCATTTATGATAATTTTTTACCCTTTTTCAATTTCCTGTGTTAATTTCTTTTATCATAAATCGTCTCTCTTTTTTAATTTAGAAATTTTTAAATAATTTAACCAAAAATTAATTTTAATAATAAAATGGATTCTAGAAGTTTCCGGATTTCTATCGCTTCCTTTGACAATCTTTGTTGATGAATACAGAAAACAAAACAAAAATAAAGTCTTAAATAAGTAGTTTCAGCAACTATTGTTGAAAGTTGACCAAAAGGGTATATAATATATGTAAATATATAGTTTTTAAAAATGAAATTTCTGTAATAAAATTTTTAAGAAAATGAGTATATATTTTAGTAAATGACAAAACAAAATATCTTCTTATGTCAAACGATACAATTTGTTTTTGACTACACATGTGCGTGTGGCAACCCACTATTTATTATATATTTCCTACGAAGGGTTGCTGTGTTGGCGACCTCACTAAATAATTACCGCCAAACCCGCTATTTTATACAAAAATTTTATGTGGACAAATCGCTTGACCCCAAAATATGCCAAGAAGAAAAGCCAAACGACGAAGAGACAATTCTAAATCTCACAGTTGTAGTAAGATTCTTAATAATTTGATTCTATTTCGATTCTGTCTTGAATTCTCCTGATTTTGTATAAATTACTACAATACATCAAAAGATTCATTTAAAAAAAAACTGTTGAATTTTGTACGAGTTTTTCTTTAATCCAATACGAATTATAAAAGAAATGTAATATCTTTGAAAATAAGCTCATTACTGATGAAAGCAGGAAAATGAGAGAGATCAGATACAATGTCTTGGTGTACCTGAAACAATGATCTTTCGGAGGTAAAAATACTGGAAATATTAAGCGCTGTATAGCTGAAATTGATTTAATAGAAATAAGCGGACCTTCATGTAATAACTAAATACGTATAATGAAAGAACATAACATATGTATAACAAAAATATGATAACTAGTAACTAAACAGTTGATATAATTTTGTTAATTATAACTGCTGAGTTAAAACTTTCATTAGTTTTATTAGTACTCAGATTTTCTGTCATGTCTACGCAAAAATCGCCATTTGCAGTCAAAACATGGGTATAAAAACATTCAGTACCCTTTCCTAATTCTGGAAAATGTCACAACTGCAGTCCTTTTAAGGCTTATAGGGCATGACGTCACACGCATTGATTATTTTGAAATGACGTATGTTAGAGTATAACCAGATGTTTCATGTAGAAATGCAAAACGTGTTCAAATAAAAATAAAGAGGGGATGGGGAGGAGAATGTGTAATTGGAAATAGGCTGTTTTCATTCTTTATTTAGCAGCATGTCATTAACATTTATTTTGTATTATTCCTTTAAGCATCAATTTAATGAAAAATTA